TACTATATTTGATGAGGAAATGACAGTTAAAATTGACTTTTGCAGCCAGAGAAAACTTGAAAAATGTCAGTATCAAAGGACTGATAAGAGAAAGGCCAGCCAGAAAGTAAATTACAGCTTTGAATAATAGCTGTTTAAAAAATACAGTAATGATTAGTAATCATTCATTACAATTACCAATTAATTTCAGCCATGAGCCACAATTACTTGAAACAATTAATGTAATACTACTTATAAATTGTTTCTAAAAACAGCCTTCAAGTTTTGGGTCCTCATTACAACATTCTTAGATACAAGCAGAGTGAAATTAATCTGATTTTTTAATATTCCTGTGCTACACACAGCTCTGTCTTTTGGCTCACACACTAAAAAGACTGAAGGTTATTACTTCTAAAATACAGTTGAAAAGATTAAAATTGAGTATAAGGGTACTAAACCAATTTCAGAACCATCTGATGGACCTACAATAGCCAGAGAAGAAAGGGATTTGAAGATTACAAAACGGGTAGTATAATATACTCTCATTTATATTTTATTTGCTCACACATGCACTGTTTTTTCCTGCCTCCTTCCCTCCCACCAAAAGTTCTTTATCTCTTGTGCATTGGCCAAAACACATAGGGTATYTTGTTGAGTTCTGAAATTGAAGATATTTTTTTACTCCACTAAAAAAAAACCACATATCTGAATTTGAGACTACTCTTGAGGCTTATTTCTTTCAGAACTTCAATCAAGTTTAAGACATAAGAGGAGCACTTGGACTAAGTAATATACAATTTAAAAGTGCTAGTTATTGGTTGTAATAATTTCTTGAAAAATATTTGAGGCCTGGGTTCTTGACCCAAAGACAAAATTAGATCTGATATACATAGGCTGAATTTAACCAGTCACAAATCTAAACCTATTCCTATCAAATTAATTCTTTGCATGAATACACTTTATTCTTGAGAACTAGTCTGGAAAAAAATTTATGGTCTTATTTTCATTTGTCATTTCTGAAAAAAAAATTCATTACATGCTTAAGGAAGCAAAATTTGAATTCATCTTCTTGAGAAGCAGGCTAAACAAAACAGGACTTTTTCATTCTTCTCCTTCACCTCCTAGAAGCCCCAGCTCAAATTTAGAAGAGAGAAAGAATACATTTTGAGGTTGGATACCATTTTCGTGGTATCCCTTAACATACAGGAAGTATCACTGTTAAGCACTGGAGAGATTTAGAAATTCTGTTTCCTTCTAGCTACTGAAATGAATGTTTTATATTTCAGATGACTTAGAAAATCTTGTTATTGGCAGACACTAAAGAAATGCTTAATGTAACTTCTAAGTTAYATTAGAAGAATGTGCTTCTAAGAAATATATAAAAGAAAGCTGAAGCTGTCATTTATAACAAAGTCTGTATTCCAGACCTCAMAAATAATTCAGAAAGAAGTGTGTTTTCTGATTTAGAGTACAGATATGCAACTCTTCAAGAATCAYAGATTAATGGTAAATAAAAGGACCTGTTAACTTAATACCAACTTTTCCAGTGTTTATTAATAATAATCCTGCTACAAACATGCATTAGAACTCATAATGATGCTCACCAGATGTCTTTYCACTGGTCAGAAAAGTAAATGGTAACTCATTTTTTTTCCCAATAAAAGCAACACGTAAAATAAAACAGACACAAAAAGCACAGAAGAAAAATTGCATAGCGGGAGGTGGGGGAGAAAGCAATTAACTTGAAAAATGTAGAACTGAAAATTAGAACACAGTTTGGCTAAGTTTTCCACTTGGTAACTGTAATTAAAGAGAACCRCTTGTCTTATTGAAGCAATAAAACAAAATATTGTCTGCTTARCAAATGACCTTTAACTTGCAAAAATATGCAGTTCTGAATGCAAATGAAATAATAGCTTGGAAGAAATTAAATTTATTTCTAATTTCCACATTTTGTGTGCGCCCTTCTGCATTCTTGAGTCTTAGAATCACTTCTAAGTGCAATGTCAAGGCATTTGTTCAGAACACTCAGTGTACCATCTYGTATGCAATGTGTTGTAACATAAATACTACAATTCAAAGGTTGACCTTGTAGGGTAAAGTCAGGACAGGCTGTAGATTTCCCAATTTGTGTGGATCCAGTATTTTTACCTACCTAGAGACAAAGTATAACTGCTAATCAACATTTCTACTTTGAAGCTGAAGAAGCAGCTGTAGGATCTCAAGCTGCTCCGGCCTTGGTTTATAGTATTACTTCTTTTTAACCCACATTTGGCAAAAATWGTGGTATGATTAGTATGATTTCGTAACATTTATAAAAAATTGCAAGGAAGGATTTTTTTTCCGTATTCTGAACTGACACATCAGGATCTAGCTTTAGAGTTGATATGTACAAAAACCCTTAAGAATCCAGTGCAATTCCTTTGTGTGGATTTAACTCCAGATTTTTAGACAAGGAACTTGATTGTGATGGCARTGAGGCTTTGCTTCAGGTACCAAAGGAGAATGTCATGGCCATGCTGAAACAGATACATTCAATGTAGAWGAGATTTCCACCCAGAAAGACTGGACAGAGAAAAGCAAAACCTTGCTTTTAAGGCTTGCTTTTTTACCTTCTCAGGCTGTTACATCTCAGAATCATGATTAATGCTCATGAGTTTATGCAGATCTTACAAYGTGTAAGACAGTGTGAGGCAAATAGTCACAACTGTATGYGTTCCCACATCTGATTTTAGTCAACTGACCTAACCTGTACAGTAATGTGCAGTACTTTTGCCACTAGAACCCTTACTCAATGTTACTAGATGTCTTTTTCAGTGTTTATTCTCAAATTTTGAGTTTATGTAACTTAATACTAATATATTCATGTTATGATACATGTATTTGATATATATTGTTGTATTGTCATTATTTTTGCTCAAACTCTGTGCATGTAAAATGCCAAYGTAGAATTGAGTTGGAACTTCCAAGAGCAATTAAATGTGATTGCTTATTTGGAGWTGGAAATAATGCAGTAGAAATTCTTTTGGCTAAGAATAGAACCAAATTTTATCAAGATAAGTGCATATTATCTTCTTTTCAACTGTCAAACTAGCAGTAGAGTAAGACATCATCAGTAAGTATTGCTGGCAACAAGTTAGAATTTGGAAACTTGCATTTCCAAAACTACTGCATAGAATTTCTTTCAAACATTTCAATGCAAAAGTTTGGTCTTTTTTYCTTTTGACGTTTTATTCCATTTTATTATTGATTTGGTTTGTATTTTCCCACTGTATACATTTTCAGTATGAMGTATTGTAGAGCTTTTATAGTGTGGGCTGAGTGCATTTTTATCATAAATTTAAAAAATCAYTGAATATGCTGCATTATGTTGCTTYAGAAGACTTAAATAGTATCTGGATTTTGTGTTTTTTGAATTTACAAGCCACAGAATGAAATTACCATGTGTACGTTGAAATGACTACTACTTATGTTATCTTTAATATCTACCTTGTCAATGGTATCTAAATTGTGTTCTATTTATGCAAAGAGKGTTCACATAATGAACAGTCATGGTATACATTATCAATCTACATTCTGTTAGGCTGATAGTCTACACAGGTKATTCCAACTCATTCTTAAATGTGGCAGGTTGCTTGGTCGCTCAATAGATAACAGTTCTGTACTGATAACAGAGGTTTGATGGAATTGCATCAGAGTTCTCTCTTCTGTTCTTTGATTCATTACTGGGTAAAAGGAGTTGCACTGAGGTTTTTTTTCCTGTGTTCCCAATTCATAATATTTTTGTGGTCTCAGCTCAGTACATAACTGAATGGAAATTGAATTTTAGCAGGGACTTTGGGAGCTTAGCATTTGTGGTTGTGATAATATATTAGGGGGSCAGAAATGGGAATTAATATTTCATATGGAGTAGTAGCAATCTGGAGAAATATAGTAATTTTGAAAATTAGGAGCAGTTTTYTGAAATCATTGTATAAAATTCAGTTTCCTTTTTCTACAGAATTAAAATGTTTGTGTATATATATTTGTGTGTATTTATTCAGCTACAAGTTACTTTTAGCTAAAGTGTTCAAAACMTCTTCTTATATATGTTTTTTGATGACCATGTTCTGTGTAGTTAATGTATTTCTCTGATACTGCTAAAATTCATGTTCAGTCCTGCCTTTGTGCATACTGGAGGCTTTCACTGCTGATGAACTTCCTCCTCTTCTGACCTCTGTAATGCTAATTCTTCCCAAGCTTATTTAAAGTCTGTATGGGGCAAACATTCCTGCTTTGCACATAAGCTGTGGGGGGTATAGCAGGAGAAGGGAAGAGTGCTTTTTARGGTGTTGCAGAATTGCTGGTTTGAGGATTGCTGCCCTCCTTAAGTATACCCTGTGAGTTATATTACTTGAACAACTTTTATTCACTAGAAAATATTAAAGAGTGAAAGAATGTTTACTTAACCTTGGCTTCAAATACTCAAGTTGTGCTAGAAAAAAAGAAATATATATACTGTCAAAATAAGACCAAAATTATTGAAATTATGTTTTACAATAAATACAATAACTCTTGTTTCTGAAACATCCCAGCCAGTTTCTGCCTTTCTTTTGGAAGAAACTGAAATTTTAAATTACAGGTTTCCTTTGTTGTAGGTRTGCTGCCTTTTCCTTTCCATCTGATGAAAAGGAAAAGCCAGAAGACAAATAGTGTCCTTATTTCTGTGGCATCTCRGGCTGCAAATCCTTTGCTTTTTGTTTTTATTAGTAAAAACTTACATTTCTGTCTTCTGCTATATCAAATGCTTTGGCATAAAACATGATTGAAGTGTTTTCCTCCCTTCCATGTCTTCAAAGCTTAGTTTTTTCTTTTACACATTTTCTTGTAAATGTGTTAATTAGTACAGACCCTTCCCTGGGTGATACTATAATTGTTAAGTCATTTGCACCTTTTTAATATAGCATGTTCTAATATAAGGTATTTTTCAAAGGATTTGTTTTCAGATTTTTGATGTTTTCTTGTTTCTTTCACGTCTCTAGCCAACAATGACACTAGTTATGACAAGTATGTCTTCTGAGTAAGTACTGACTATTTTGACTCTTTATGCAGCTCTCTAATTAAATTTTAATAATTGATAATGTTGATAGTTTTTTATGCCTATAGAAAATGAAATTAATCTTTGTGCTCTGCACTTTATTTCATTCTGTATTCCGTTTAGAAACTATAGAAACATGTATACACGTGTATGTCTTTCTTATTTGCACTGTATATGTTTTTGTTGCTGTGGTATAGAGTGAAGTAGTTCCATAGGTGAGTTCAACAGGRCTTCAGAGCAATAAAACTAAAATCTTAAGCAAGTTTTGAATTTTTCCAAAGGAAATATAAATARTTGTATGTAGTAAAAGCTTTAGCCCAACGTTTAGCCTTTTTGTCTTACTTTTGAAGTATTTCTATTTGAAAAGTTATAATATGAAACATCAGTTTAAAATGTTTTATTTCATATGAATAGTTGCAGAATAAATATGAGTTGTAGGTTTTTTAGCAACTTAGTTTCAAAACATTAGACGCAGCTGCCACTGCATTTTTTGGGGGAGAGTTAATAATTTTCTGGCATGCTCTTATCATTCTCTTAAAAGTCTTAGAGCATAAAGAACATCCAACAAAAACATGGTTCCATATTTTATACTACACTTGCTTACAGTTTTTGAATTCTTTTTCAAAACTCAAGATATTTATACTACCCACAAATCTGTTTCAGGTTTGATGTAACTAAATGTTGACAGTTACATAGATATAAATACTCCAAAACAGCACTTAGTGGCTATCCTTTCAGAAGTTTTTTTGTAAAACATTGTCAATAGTTATTAAGAAGTATACTTATATAGGTCAGAAACATGAAATGGAATTAATACTTTTCTTGTATTTAGTGTGACTGGGTACTAGTAACACCAGGACTATAAAATGAACTTTGCAAGTCATGCAATGCAAGATTGCTGTAGAGCATGTAAAAATCATCACTACAGTGCAGACAGTAGGGGAAAACAGAGACTGTGCTCTGCCTAAAAGAGGAGAACAAATCCTGGCTGAGCTGGGGAAATTTTTTTTTTTTAAAGAACTCATTAATGTATTATTTCTTTTATGTTGTTATATGTTGACTTTTTCCACTACCCAATTAATATTTTGTTAAATTAAATTGTCTGGGCATAACAATTGCTTTTCTTCAGAATTTTTTATCAAGAGTGCACTTTTGGCTGACTACAATTGTAGGCATTCATCTACTTGTAAAAGGGTGAAGGGAAAGGGACTGCTTCTAAAAGAACTAAAGAACAAAAAATAGTCCTCCAAAACACAACACAGTGGTCAAAAGTCAGTTCTACTACCTGGTAACTACAGCCTCAACAGTGGTTCATTAGAATTTATATTTTAAGATTCATTAGTTCAGTGGTTCCATGGCACTGGGTTTTGAGATTATATTAATGCTGCTCACTGATTAGCAACMACCAGCTACCTATTCTTCTAAATTAAAAATTCAGTGAAATTTTGCTGTAAATTTTCATCCACCAGTTTTGCAGCTGTCTCAAATATGGACTGTTGAGTTTTCTCTGCACTTTGTAAGACGTCTTTGATTCAAGAGTTGTACAACAGAAATTTTTCTTCTCATTGTAAGTAATTTTGTGTAGACACACGAAAAATAAGAAAAGCTTCAGGGAGAGCATGGAGCATGCAGTTTGGGCAGGCCCAGTCCCCATGGGCTGTAACGTTGCAAAAACATTCACTTGTAGGCAAATTAAAACTTGCAAAATTAAAAGGGAATACTAAGCATTATTCTAGTAACAATCAAAGCTATATAGCCAAGGCCAGAATTCGTACCAGAGGGTCAGTCATTCGATATTTTTAAGTATCTCAACATACAATATCACCTTTTGACTTAATTGTGAGATAGATATGCTACACTGTTTTCACTATTCTTTTTTTTTTTTGTTTGTTTTAAACTTCTTGAAAAATAGTTTGCTCTAATTTCTGTGAAGAATTTTTAGCAGTTTTGTTGGGATTCTGCTAAGCAGTTTGTTTTAGCTGGGATATTTTGGGAGTTTAACAGACTCCCTTTCTGTAGAGTTGAATGTAGCGAGAATGACACAACCCCAGAGCCTTCTGGAGGCGTTCTGAGTGTGCTTGCATTGTGTCCATGATTAACTTACATGTTYTGTCTGAAAGGATCACCACTGTGATAGGTGTGGCTGTGATCATGATTGTGCTTAATTATTTTATCTTGTGTTGCTGACATTTCCAAATCAGTATGGTGAGCAGAGGACACCAGAATATGGTTTTCATTTACAAATCTTTAATGATCATTTATAATTGTAAAATTTATTATTATTAAAAGCAGTAAATTGTTATCATGCAACAGCTTTTCTCTAGTGATACCAAGATCTTCCTGTGTTTWTAGTTATATATTTATGTGCTCCTGCACAGCTATGTAGGCAGCTCAAATTAGAATTTCTGTTATAGATGGCCATTTTGGAATTTATATTTCATTTTATATATGTCATTGTAATTGTATTTAAGGATAAGTGAATTTTTAATTGAAACAGGGGCATAGATGTGTAGGTAGCRAGCCAGACAGAACTTTAGTACTTTTCTCTAAATTTAGATGCAGCATTTTATTCAAATGCTGAAAATTTGGTGCTTCCTAATGAAAAACTGTTGAGTATGCTGTGTCTAAATGTTTATATTTCTTGGTAMTKYTTKTTTTTTTTTAATAGTAYTRCRGAAGAAACCAAGAATTAGGCTCTGTTGTACTGGGCATTGTACACAAACAACATAATAGATAATTCTGCYCTCAAAAGCTTTTATTTAAACAGACAAGATAAATGTGGGGGGCAACAGGGCTTTGATGTGCAAGCAGATGTGATTGTGTGATAATGGAAAAGGGTCTGTTTGGACTCTGTGGAGTGGTTAAAGAATTTAAGGSTAGCAAATGGGTAGAGGCTTATTGAGAAAAGGATAGAAAATTATTAGTGGGGAATGAAATTAGATAAATTTCAGTTAATTTGTGTTGTGTGCATATGCTCTTATGATTCTGCCTCCCTCCATTCAGCAAGAATGGGTTTTCATGGGGTTTTTTTGCTTTTCTTCTATTTAGGAAGCAAAATACAGTAATTCAGGTTGTRAATAAACTTGGAGATATTTTGTTTCAAATTATGTATGTGAAACAAGTCATGTAGTTGCTGGGAGTACTCGCTGTACCTTGGATATTATGCTGGGAATTGCTCGTGGTTATTGGATTGTTTCTTATGAATGGGTAAAAAATTCCTTTCAATTTTACTTCACAATAAATTATGTTTGTTTTGTATAGCTGAAATATCAACCATATTTTTGTCCATACAACAGTGCAAATATTAAAATATTCAGACTTACTGAGACTTAGTTAAATTAGATGAGGTTGGTCTGTGTGAAGGTCTGTTACTGTGTGTTACAGTTCTCCAGTGCTTAATCTAACAAAAATATTCCTGTATTGTACCTCATTATGTATTTTAGAAAGGCTCAAATCTCATGGATGACGAACTCATGTCCCATACATTGTTTTTGGACAGATTAATTTCTGCTTAACATTAGCCAACTCACATTATTCAGATTGAATTTTTTATATCCTGATATATTTCTGTTCTGTTCTGAAGCATGTATTGTGTCCAGCATTGGTAAAAATGAAGGGAAATTGTTAGATATTTTGCTGCAAGTGGGAACAAATGCAAAATAGAAATTGWAGTAGCTGGAAGGGGAACATATCTGTCAGCCCAGGCTTAAACTATCTCAATTGCTCACTGTAATAATAGAGATTAACTACTCAATCTGACATTGCAGATGACAGTTTCTCAGCTTTCCTCACATTTCCAGAGCTATAAAACATAGATATTGAAATTTATATGGTAATAGCTCTTTATCTYATACAGAAAAGGTTTGTTGAATAGATAAATTTCTTTATTTCCTTTTTCTTRTAAATACTTTCAAATTTACTCATTGGGCAGAAAATAAACTTCCACATTTTTGTTTTCAAGATATCTTGTCCGATGTGATAAATCAGCAGTTATCTGAAGTTGTGGTATACTTTAGGGTTTTCAGAAATTCTTGGTGAATAATTTCCCTTGGAATAGAGGGTTTGGACTTTTGGTGACTTTTGGTCGCCTTAAGGATCCAGTAATGTGCCTTTGTGGTGAAAGAAGACTAATAACATCCTTGGTTGCATTACGAGGAATGTATTTGAGCAGGCAGTTTGGAGAAGAAAATTTCCAGAGACCCATTCCAGCCTGCTATATGACTCTTGGAAGYTAATAATTAAATACACTGAATTATCTGTCCCACACTCAGCTTTGTATTGAGCATTAAACAAGTCAACAAATAATTGCTAAAAGTTACTTTGTCGTAACAGAGTACTCAAACATGAAAACTGCATTTTTCCTTTCCTTTGAAATCACTGCTAAGATAGCTAGAGATGGAGATAACTACCACAAAATAGTTTCCTGTCTTTGTAATAAGGCAGTATTTGGATAATCATTATTCCAACAAGTGCTGTCCTAGAATTTCATTACCTGTTTTATGCTGTGCACTTCAGTGAACAAATGCATGGTGAAAATRTCTACCCTTTGTCTTCATAGACCCATACTGATTGGTAGCAATGCCAAATTTTGTCCTTCTGTCTTACAGCCTACCTTGTAGACTCATCATGGGATAATCTATATCCAATATATTATACCGATATATTATACCAATAAATTGAATGAAATTATTCCAAGTATTAGTTTGTTCCTGAAGATGTTATTGGATCAAATGTTGATGCTGCTGTTTATTGAGCTGCTATTTAGACAAATTTCTGAAGTWACTAGGAGACACATGAGAAGGAACTAGAGACGAACTTCAGAACTCTAGATCGAAAGTCTGTTTGATCTTATAGTATCTCCTTATCTGCTGGTTTTAATATTTTTATAACTGTGCTTATACCTTTCACAGAGACTGGGTCCCATTTTGTCCATACCCTCAAATAATTAAGTCATTTATTCCACTGAAATAAAACAGTGCTTTGGATTTTTTTTTAATGTTAACCTAGTTAAATCATTGAATCCTATCTTGTAAGAGCATTTTTTTCTTATTTCTAATTGTGTCAATGGCATCATTTTGCTTTCTTTTTACCCAAACTGGTTAACTAGAGAAGAGAAAGCTGAAGCCTTACTTAGCCAGCATTAGTCAGGAGAATTTCATTTAAACAAAATAATCTTCTCTTTTTATTGATACTATATTATTCAATCCTTTAAATTTAATCAATCCTACCAYTAATACTTCCATTGATAAAATAGTTCAAATTGGGGAATTCAAATAATAAATCTGAAGAAATTAGTAGTAATTTTTGAAGATGGTATTACTTTTGAGGAGTCATGATTGTCTTTTGGACGATGTTTATCAGTGTTTTAAGAAGCTGTTTACCTCTGCCTTTTGACATTTAATSTGGAGATAATTTAAGATGAAGTGGTTTTTTTCTTCTGAGAAAAAATTATAATGTTATTTTTAAAGTTGGATGTTGGAGAAATACCAAATTTACCATCAGACATTTAGTCTTCATAACACTCCATTTACATATTTCAAGATGAATTATTCAAGGACAAATACCAAATGATCATTCAGTGTGTGAGCTGGATAGGTAAGAAACCTAAAATAATAACTAATCAAACAATGTGTTTTCAGACCCTTGAGTACGTGATGATATACCTTTTTTTATATGTTGTGAATAAAAGAATGTAGCTGATACAGATATGCAGATGGAAACTCTTCCCCAAGTCTAAATTTGTAGCTTGCAGGACACTTGTTGGAGCACAGTGCCACACAGGCTGTGTGCTGCTGAGTTAAATAATATAATCCAGAGTTGAGCATGAAGTAACAAGATTAATCAACTTGATTCTAGTCCARAGCCAAAGGAAAGTATTCTTTAAGGTTGTAAAAAGTCCACATAAAAATTACACTTWTCCCCCTCTTCCCTCCCTAATTTTGGTTCCCTTCCTCCTAATTTTGGAGGAACAGCAAGAATATATTCTACTAGAATCTGATAGATTCTTAATATCTCAATGTTATCCTGTATTTTCCTAACTTCTGATACTCCTGTATCCAGCATTCATATCAGATCCATACTGTACTGCTGTATCACATACTGCTTTATGGCATTTTAACTGTTTTGTAACTGCACATCTGAAAACTTCTAGATAGCTCTTTTTTCTCAATACAAACACACATTCTGAAGCATTTCAGCTGAGAATAATACTGCAAATCATAGCTTGTTTTTGTACTACATGAATCTGAAGCATTTTTTTTTGCTCTGAAAATATACTAGTTGAAAATTTGCCAAAGTCAGAAGCAATGACTTGGTATGGAAAGCTCTTGTCTTTGTTTTCATGAAAACTGAATGCTTTAGTGAGTGGTGACCTAATTATTTACTGCAGGACCTGTTCATGAACTCTGTATCTAATTTTCTTTTTATCTTGGAAAGTAGATACGATGCCTTTGTACTCAATTCCAGAACCATGATAGACAAGCATTAATCCATCTTTTGTTAATACTAACAAAATTCATTTCTAAACAAAATTTTGTAAATACTACAAGGATTGATAGGGGTAGTTGCTGTAGAATTGGCCTGGAAAATGAAAGAGGATTACTTAATCATAACTAATCTTTTGGGTTTATATTTTAATCTATTTGGGTTATTTTCCARCTACTTCTGATACAAACATGATTTTGGTACTATAAGGACATGATGTGTATGTAATACAGCATTGTACATCTGTTCCTGCTCACGTTTRTTTATGAAGAACTTTTTTAATGTAGTTTGTCTCTATGAATTTTATTAAAAGTCAAAATTTTCTTTGTTCAGKTAAAGTTGATTTATATTGTCATTAAAAGAGAAATTATTCACATTAACAAGTTTCTTTTATGTTCAATAAATATATACAGCTATAAGTAGAAAGCTAAGAGGCTTTGATATTCTTATTGTAAACTGTTAAAAGTAATTGTAAAAAATATACACAGGTACCACGTTAAAATTTATTATTTACAATCCTAAGTTGCAGTCTTAACTGTATGTTTTTAAAAARTTGCTATGCTTTTCTTAGCTGAATACAGCAATACATTATTAGGTTTAGAATATTTTTTAAAGRTCATTGATTTATTAATGTGCTAAACTCTTATTTTTTATCTTTGGTATGATATAATGACTGTAGAAATTATTTTCTCTTTTTGTACAGCTGTTGCATTTTCAAATATTTGATTGCTCTTTTTCTAAAAGTAAACACAATATTCTTTGGATATTTTGTAATCAAGTTTAGCAAGAMGTCTAAAGATATACTGCTTTTTATTGTCAGCAAAAAAATCCTTGTTCATTGCCAGTAGCTTGCAAAAGTGAACATCTCCCCTCACAAGTCAAACACCACTTGTCATGTCACACAAGGCACCAGTTTTTGTAGCAGTTCACATTAGAGGTTGCTGGTTTGGCTGGAAGTCATCAGGCATAAGATACCTGGGACTGAAARCTACAGAACTTATTTAGAACATAATTTTGTTATCAAAACCAAATTTGCAATTTATTACTTGTAGCAACAGATTTGGGGCAAAAGAACTTTTCTTACATACAATTAAGCCATTTTATAAGGTTTGCATTGCTAGTTTATTATCAGTCTGTTCAAATAGGAATTTTCCATTAGTGAGCTGTAACATTATAAAGGATAACTTTACCATGCTCAGTACATATAATGCTAGTCTTCACTTACAGGAAATATTTCATAGACTTGAAATAGACAAATTGTGGAGGTAGCATTTTCTAATATAAATTAAAACTAATAATACATGCATTTGTATGGTATTACTTTTTGAGGTACTTTTTTTACTTTGAGAATATTTCAGTTACTATGAATCAAGCAGGGGGATAATTTCAAACACTGATGAAATTCAGCTTGTTCTAAGATGAATAATGACAACTGTTTAATAGTGCATGGCTGTGCTAACAGACTTCATCTATTTGACATGGCTAAAGAACTATTGAGGGGAAATATGAGAGATGTAGAATTATACTGCTAAGGGATTTGCTTTCTGATAAATTGCATATATCCCATTTTGGGTGCATATGTATGCTTCTTGTTCAGTTAGCTTCACTTGCTCTAGGAGCAGCAGGGTATTTCACTGGTAGGTAACATTACTTTTTAGAACTCTAACTTCAGAGGTGCCAGATGGCAACTACTGAGAAGATTTTGTGAAGCTGAAATATCAGTAAAAGGGAGAAGTTGTTGAATTTAGTGACAGTGAACAAACTTGGCAAAGAAGTTACCAGTGTTTTACCTATCTGAGAAGTTTTGTGGCTCACCACTGATAAAGCCAATAAGGAAAAAAATCACATCTTTCATCAGAATGTGCTTTAGAATTTACACTATCTACAGATTAGTAGTAGAATGTCATTTATATGTCCCAAGGGYAGAGCCAATGCAGGAATTTTGTCTTTTTGTATTTTCCCATTAAGATGATGTTTTTATCAGTTGARGGATAGTATTTGCATACTCTCCATGGGCCTTTAATATTATAGTCAACCAATGGCAAGTTATGATAAACTGTCCTGAAGAATGTTTGGAAAATCAGTTGGTAAAAAATGCTGGATGAAGTGCAAAATCATTTACTGTTTTCAAATGCTTATGATAAGTTTTACCAAAAAAAAAATTAAAAATACTGTATTTCAGAAACTGAAAATGCAACCATTTTAAGTATGGATTTTTTCTGTTAACTATTTTGTGCTGGCCCTGATGGGAAAGAAAGTCTGCAAGTTGTCCACAGTTTTAGGATTTCTAGTCTCTAAAGACCATATTGATCCCATGTTCCAGAGTTCAGTTGAACACAAATGATTATGTATTTTCTTGAGAATCAGTGTTCTGCAGTCTTTTTTTTTTTGTGCTCTAGAGTATGACAGTGACAGGAGAATGCAAAAGAGAAAGAAATTGAGTTATTCTTCATTTTAGGATGATTTATATATGTAATGTTGATTCTATGCAATAGTTGAGTAATCCTTGCCAGTAGTAGGGGTCCAATACTGTCTGACATCTTCATTTATGATCTGGGGAAGAATGCACCCTCAGCAAGTTAGCAGATGTTAGAAAACTGGAGGAGTGTTTGATACACCAGATGGGTGTTCCTGTTCAGAGGGACTTGGACTGGCTGGAGAAATGACCCAACAGGAGCCTCATGAAGTTCAACAATTACTGAACTGAGAGAGCCAAACTGATACATTATGACTTCCCTTTTCAAATTTTTGCTCTACATATTGTGATTAAAAAAATGTTGATTTTTCTAATATCCTCACAATGTTTTGAAATTTAATAYAGATATACATAGAAGTATGTCTGATATTTCAATGGTTGGTTTCAGTTGTGAAATTTGTATCTTTCTGATTGCTTGGTTTTTCAGCAAATCATTTGGTTTGGGTAAATGAAATAGCAAACCATCTATTGCAACAGCACTGTCACTTCTAATTACACATTCAAAAAGTTTGTTTTAGAAATATTAAGATTCTATTTACCACTTATTTTATTTTAGGTTCTGTGGTCTTTGGAATCAGGCCATTGGATCTCAGAGGAACCATATGAGCTTTCATCCAGCTTCCCTGCRGCTCCTGTAAGTTTAATGGTCCTTTAAGCTTGTGAACCTTCTTTTGTTTATCTGGGAAATGAGATGCCTTCTAAATAGGTTTTTTGAATAAGAAAGCCTACTAGAAAAATATTTTTTTAAAGTAGAGACTGTAAGGAGTTATTTTCTTCTTCATCTACTACTTTTTGAAGTGTGTCAAAAACTTTGGTACACGTAGAAAATGCAAAATATTGATTCACCAATTAACACCTGAATAAACCAGCATCTTATTGATGTATAAATGTACTTTAATTTTATTTCTATCTGTACCTGTATACAAACTGGAGAGGCATGTTTTTGCCAGATGGAAAGATTTGCAGGTCATGTACTCAGTTTTTTTGGCCCAGAACTTACGTGGGCAATGGAAAATTACTGTGGCCTACTAGAACTGCTACGTAGGAAAAAATGAAGCATTTTTCCTGCCTCTAATGAGCATTCTCAAGTAYTGAATTGGGAACCAGTGCAAAAGTGGGTATGTGGGGGCATGGCATACCTGCGCAAACCTCAGTGCACTTCATGTGTTAAATAGGAGTTTTATTTTGGTTTTAGTACAAGTAGAATTCTAGCTGGTTACTAGTCAATCATTCCAATAGTTTTTCCTACACTAAATTATTGTCCGTGATTTGTTTCTCAAAGTTTTGAAGAAAGACCAGTTAATGGTGCATGAAATTTATTTTTACTGTAATTTTATTAATTGTTAAGGAACTTTTTAGCATTCTTTTTAAATCTGTAACTTATGTAAACTTATATGTTCAGCATGAAGCTTTATTTCATGATTAGAAGTTCTATGTTCTGGAAGTGTAGGGAAACTGTAGTAGTTTTTCTCAAGCCTAAAGAAATTAATTATCCATTATAATTTAAAAATTTTKCTAAAAAACGGAAGTTGATTTTTTTATATAGGAAATACAGTAAGAATGGTAAAACTTAATGTGAAAAATAAATAAGAAGCATGTTGTTTATTTTCATCTTTTCTGTGTTTCTATGAAAAAAATATGCACTGATTTTCATGTTAAGTTGCTTTGAGTTTTCTGTTTATTTTCAGACTACCTTACTTAATAACAAAGTATGGCATCATTAGCAATGTACATAGCATTGTTTAGAAGTGATTCCTCTTGGGGCTGTTTGCTAGATTCTGTTTAGAGATTTTATTCCTAAAGCAGAAGTAAAAAGCATTTGAGAGATGGTGAGAATGTAAAATYGAGGGAGGTTATGGCTGTGCTGAGCACCTGAATCACTTCTATTTCCAATGCGCTGTTCTTGCAAGGGAACAAACCTGGTGTCCAAGGCAATGTTTCCATTACCACTCCGATCATTCCCTTCTTTAGTCACTATTTCTTACTATAACAGATACCATATTTTTTTTTTTAAAAAATGCAACTATTATTTGAGCATAAATGGTGTTTTTATGTCCTTTTTTTTTCTTGTTACTTTCCTGCTTCCTAAAAAGTATTTAGATAAAATGGAAGTGCATTCTAGTTTTACATACTGTTTATTTGATTACAGGAAGAAATTAAAAGTAGGGGTTACCTTGCTGTTATGTTTTAATTGTTTGTACCAAGTCCAAAGCAGTTGTTGCAAACTTCTGTTTCCTACTATTGCCTTCCTTCTGACATGTCCTCCTGTTACTTCACTTTGGTATTTAGAATTCAAGCCATGCAATCTTCTTTAGATGAAATGTCATTTAATATTCACTCTGAAATTTTATATTTCTGTTGATAAATTGATCCTTTTTCTCCCAAAATGAAGTTTCATTAAAYAATTGATCCATTCCATGTCTACATCAGTATTTTTGATCACTTTTCCAGAATAGTCATCAGAAAGCCTCAAATTTTATAAACTTTTTTCAACAAATCAAAATTAGCCACACAATATTAAATTATTTTTGTCATACAATGTTTTCTTACTAAAATAAATAAAGTTAATGTCAACCAGAAGTTAGCACTGCTTTCCTTTGCCAGGTTGAGCATTCAGATTTCATCATGATTTTTAAGAATCTTTTTAGGGATTTTTTTTTTTTTTTGCTTTTTTTTATTATTGGTCTGGATATACTTACTGTCTCAAATATTGGGGGTATTTTCTTCAGTTGTCTGTTTAAATGTAGCAACACAGAAATGCAGTAATGTACACTCAGTATTTCTATTACATTTCATAGAATCATAAAGTATTTTAGATTAGCAGGTACCTTTGAAAGTTGTCTAGTTCAACACTCTGCTCCAAGGGACTTGCTCATCATAATAAGTAAATAAATGAAAAGGAAAATTCACTTTCCCCAATTCCAAATTGTATTTGCTGCCTCTTGTCCCTGTATCTTGTCTCTCAGCAGTGCAGCTCCAAGAAGGGTCTGGCTCTGTCCTCCCTGTGTCTTCAACCAGGCAGTTGTAGGCACCATTAATGTCTCCCTTCCCCTTCTCTTCTCTGGGCTGTAAAATGACAGCTCTCTATGCTTCCCTTGGTATGCTGTGTGCTCACTGGTATGCATAGATCCTCTATGAGTGTGATGACTCTTCTAGACTTGCTCTCTAGGACATTTCTTGAAAATTCATGAAAGCAATTTTAGGAAGGTTTTTTTTTTTTGGCATATGTATATCCTCACAAGTTTGCTATGAAAAACTATAAAATACTAAACAGTAATTTCAAATACATTGAGATTATTTCATGCAGCTCTTCAGACAATGACTATTTACATTCTTTGAGTTTATATAAAATAAGATCATGAAGTAAGATTAGAAATATTTTTTGTCTCTGCTGCACTTTAGTAACGCTAACAGTGAAGAAGAATGGTGCAGGAGCACTATGACAGCAGCTTTAATGACTGTCAGTATAAAATGGAGATATTTCTTCCATCTTTCTCAAAATCACTTACTGTTTTGAAGATAGAATCATAAAATCATCAAAGTCAGAAGAGACCTACAGGATCATGTAGTCCAACCATGCACCCAGCTCTTCCACTGTAACCATAAACCACATCACCCACCAGATCCAGGTGCCTCTTGAACACCTCCAGGGATAGTGACTCCATGACTTCTCTGGGGAACTTATTTCAATGCCTGACCACCGTAACACTGAATTCATTTTTTTTTCTATTGTCTTACCTGAATCTTCCCAGTCTCAGCTTAAGGCTATTTCATCTGGGCCTCTCACTGCAGGCACAGTAAAAGAGAAACCAGACCCCTCCTCACTCCAACAGCCTTTCAGGTGACTGTAGGGCGTGATGAGATCCCCACTGCTTCTCCTCTCCTCCATCTAAAAACACCTGATCACTCACCCCCTCCTCCTAAGACATGCTTTCTAAACCCTTCTTCACAAGCCTTGTTGCCCTTACAATACCTTTTGTTAAGCTAGCCTCTAGAAATGTGTCTGGGGTTTTTTTTTGGGTTTTTTTTGGGATAAGTTCTTGGATTGTAACTAATTCAGTCATCCCCTGAAAGAGTGTTGACAGTTTTACAAAAATATTAGGCAAAAATTAAGCATGAGAATTAAAAGCTAAACTTAATTTGGAGAAAGACCTCCACTAAATTATTGTGACTTATGAAGAAATAATTTCTCAATGTGAACTGCAGTGTTTAGTACACAATTTTAAAACATATAGTAATAAAATGAAGGGGAAAAAAAATCAAAGAACACTCAACAGAGTAATTTATTCACATTATGGTGTACATTGAGGGCCTACCTACAGAGAAATTTTAGGGACAAGTCCTAATCTTACTGAAAAAAAACCCCATAGTGTGAGCTTAGATAGTTTTCAGATTTTTTTTCCTGTTTTTAAAATGTAATATTTTTCTCTTAAGTCATAAGCATAAATTTAATTGTATCAAAGAACATGCATATGTTTTTCAGTTACAGTATTTTTACAAAACATATAGATATATTACAGCACCAGGTRATAAATGATTGTCATAGACAACCAGACATCTGGTGTTAATGCCGTTGTCTCAGTTTATAAAATACTGGTCAGTTACTTTACAGGTAAATGACAAGGGAAGGAAAAAAAAGTGCAATCTTCATTAAAATGTATAGGAATACATGCTATATTGTAATTCATAGGGATTTTTGTAATTTAAAGGTAGTGACTGAAATAGAATGAAAAAAACATTGTTTTTTGTAAATGGTATTTCCCAAGAATAAACACAAACTCTTTAAATGCTATTTGTTTTCTGTTAAACATAGTCATACAGGCTATTGGAAAAAATCCCCAAATAAGTGTAAGAAATTGTTAAGGAGACTATGGGGGGAAAGAATGTATTCCCTAACTACACAGTAACGCTAATTACAGGACAATATTTTTTTAATGTACATAATGGGCAAACACAACACAGAAAGATAAATAGTTCTAGATCTAGCTAAGTGTTTTATATTAATGTTTAAAGTTCAGTGGTGAGGCAAAATGCATATTTCTAAAACCATTTTAGGGTTTTTTCACAGTTCCAGTTATTTACTAACAAATACATAACATAATTGATCAGTAAAACAGAGTCCTTAAGTTGTCTGATGATTTCTTGGATGTTCTTTTTATTGAGTCATTTGGCCAAATCCCTGTTATATCAGGTTGATGCTTTTGACTTTGTGCCTGGTTGAATAATATGAGCTTTAGCTAATCAAGGCTAATGCAATTCAGGAACTGTACTGAACTGAACACTMGTGCATGTTTCTGGGCTTGAAAAAATGAGACAAGTTGCTTGATAAAATAAGTCTTTGAAAAATGTACAATACACAATTCACATAATGAAAAAGCATTTAGAAATCTGCTGGTCGAATCATCATTGTCGTAGCTTTGAGAGAGTATCCCGAGCCCTTCCAGTAGTACCACTTGATCCCGTTAAACTTGTTGTTGTTCTGTCGTAATGGGTAATACATTCCATTGAGGTTAGAAGGACCACATGCGTCAAACCACCAGCCTGCAAGACAGAAGACAAACATCAGCAGAAGTAATTCTCAAAATAGTATACAAGTTCATTGCTGTCTGGAAATGAGGAAGAAATCTAAACCCAGTTATTGGTTCTTATGATTTGGAACTGTCAGTATAAAATACTTGCCACAGACTCAGGAAAGAAATGTATTTTTGTATGAACTACATATTCTTGAATCTTATGCAATACACTGTAATTGAAAATTGCAAAGACAAAGTGTTCATTTATTATCCACATCAAACATTGTCAACAGTCTGAGGGAAGAACACAACTTGAACTATAATGATACTGAGTTGCCTTTGGTTTTATCTGCTCTTTGGTAAATGTCTGTTCTTCACAGATTTTAACTCCTTTCTTAATTCTTTCTAAAGGAATTATTCAGTTCTCCATGCAGGTCAGTTCAAAAACTCTGGGAACTTGGTAAGAACAAAAACGAGAAAAAAGCAGAACAAATGTATTTTGTATCCTTATAGTCCTGACCTGTTAGTGGGTCATAAGAGAAAAATTATTTGTATTAATAGAATAATATTTTTATACTTCTGTTATGGTGGCAATAGTGTGTATGTTCTGTTTTGCAGGGCAGTAATCTAATTATCCTTTTGGATAAACTGAAGCCGTCTTTTTTTCTTGCAACTTGTGCTATAGGAAAAGGAACAATTGTTTGAGATAACAGGAAGATAAGCCGAATTTACAAAGCACTTGAAATTCTGAATTAATAAATTATAGCATTACTTGTGTAGATGAAGATAAAGATACCACCTATAACTCAAATATAACTAGTGAACCATCATTWCAAAAGTGTAAATATATCTGTGGTGTATCTTTATAACATCATAACTATATTGAAATAAGGAATTAAATTCTTGTACTGTTCTGTAGCACATGCAGTACACAGCAGCTCTTGGGGTTTTTCTTCCCTGGGTAGTTAGAGAAAGGGTTTATGCCTAAAGAATTAGAAGTCATTTCATAGATAAGCTGAATCTCTGAAACAGGTTTTTTTGCGGGGAGTTTTGTTTTGATCTCTGACTGTTACCTCATTCCTTGGAAGAGGAATCTGCTACRTCTCTGATTAGTTTCTTGTACCCCAAATTCAGAGATTTATTTTCCCTCCAGTTTTAACTCCTCTTGTTTTRTTTTAACTAACCTTTGTCAAATAATAAAATATTTCATTTGGAGTCTCCATACTACTATTTCTATCCATGAGTTTTGAGCTTTTTTAATAGTCAAAATTATCAGTATTTATCTCATAGACAATATCAGTGCCAATAAAAATAGGAAGACTGAGAAACATAAAAACATTCCTACCTCCTGTTAGCATTTGTGAACACTTGCAAATACATTTGTCATTGTCTGCATCCTTTGTGCTAAAATCATTTCCTGGTTGGCTTATACTACTTATTTTGCCCGCTGTCCCAGTAAGTCCTTTAAGGTAAATCCTGCAGAAATGAGAAATGGAAAAACAATTATTACATGGAAGTTGATGGTAGTTGTCTGCAAAATAATGATGGAATAATTTGCAATAAATATCCTGTTCAAATAGTTGAGTTCTCTTCTGGCCAATGTACTGGTGTAAGCTGTTTTTCAGCACAATGTTTTTATACAAACCAAAATAGTCAGCACAATATTCTAATGAACATCCATTTGTTCAAGTCATATTAGAAGAAAATGAGAGCAAGTGGATAGTAACTCCTGGGATTATTCATACAGAACATGTATTTATTAAGACTGAAAGTATGGTGTTGTACTTCAATGCAACAGTACATTAATTTTTTTTTTATTAAGTTCAGAAGTTTAAAACAAAATTTTTTTGATCCCTATTTTGCTGTTAGCACAACACAGCAATTTAGCATTATAATACTGCATATATGATATAACAGCATTACAAGGAGTATTAATTATGAGTTAGTAAATGGTATTTTAGAAGTTTCTMAATATTTCCCTTTTCACTTTTCTAATTACTCTCCATTTTCACATAGTTCATAAATTTTAGTGTGAAATCATCACAACTATTTCAGTTTGCTTCAATTTCCTGACAAGGCAGGCTTTCAGTGAGGCTGCTGCTGTTGGGATCTGCTTGCACGGGTGCCAATGGAGTCTCAGTGGGGAAAGAACATAGAGCATTGAACTGAGCAGGGCAATTACACAGCTATTCCTGTGTTACCTTGAACTGGAAGAATTTGAACCCTCTGCTCCCAAGGTATCTTTTTGTTGATTGCATTTCTGTATTAAATAGCTCATGCTTCTCAGTGACATTCTATTTGCTTAAAGAGGAGATCTGACTCTGAGGAGAATTAACTTGTCCCCAGATCAGTCTTCATCTTGCATGTAATTCACTGCTTATGATAGAAGTTGTCTTTGGGAGTTTAGCAGATTATTTTAACCCATTTTACATTCCCTACTTTAAAAGCTAATTAATTACTTTTTATTCATTTATGTTTCAAGGGATCTGTTCACTACAGATATTCTCAAAATGTCTGCCAAAAAATTACTGTTTTTTCTTAAGATGAGTACAAAATTACGTAAGCCAATTTCTAACATAAATTATATTAAAGGTTTCAAGTACAATGTGTGAGCCTAGGCTGGGTCTTCAAATAYCATTTTAAGTCTAATATAAGCATACTATTATTATTAATAATAATGAATTTTTAAAGGTACAGTTTCTTGTAACAGAAGATGAGAGGCAATAGATGAAAATTGAAATAAGATGTTCTGACTGGATATCAGGAAAACCTTTTACCATGACGGCAGGTTGTGCCATCTCCACCTTTGGAGGTTTTCAAGACCCAATCGAAAAGCCCTAAGCAACCTGGGTTTGATTTCACAGCTTTGAGATGAGGAAGTTTATTCAAACAAAGTCCATTTTAATCTCAGTTTAATATGAAGAAATTTCAGTTTTATGGCCCAACTCATCTTTCCAGCATTCAGAATGTAATTCTGAATCTTTTTCATTCAGAATCTTTTTAATGTAATGGATCACAGAATCATAGAACTATTCAAGTTGGAAGAGACAGAATTGGTCAAGTTAGAAGGGACCTTAAAGACCATCTCGCTCCAACCCCTTTGCCATGGGCAGGGACATCTTCCACTAGAYCAGGTTGCTCAAAGTCCCATCCAGCCTGGCCTTGAACACTGCCAGGGATGGGGCATGGAAGACGCTCTTAATTGAATACTTTCTTTGTTTTTTTTTAGATTTTCCTAATGTTAAATGTATTCTTTAAACCACTCCATTTGATGATTAATTCCTCGTTTGGTTGCATATTGTAATAAAATTGCTTTTACCATCTTATTTTTCAGTAATTATCTTTTAATATTGTAAATGGACAAGGGTAATGACCCATTTTGCAAAGGTTGCGTTTTTATGTATTTTAAAGCATTACTTAAAAAAAATCTCTGCTGTAGATTCTGACTGTTTCCAGATGAAAAAATATTTACTTTGGAGTTGAGACAACTGTATACTGTATACCAAGGCATTAAGATCTAATGTTTTGTGGGGGGCAGATGCTGATAGTTTTGAATTGCTTTGTTTGCATATAAGACTTGAGTTGAAATAACAGCATCAGCTCTCTTAGGTGTCAGRTTGACTTTATTTACAAAAATAGTTGGTAGAGATCTTGGAGAAATTAATCTAAGTGAAGAAAATTTTTCTGTCCAGTCACCCAAAGCTCCATGAATCTTTAAGACTCTTACATTTCATGGACTGTGTAGTAGGAAAGCCTCTGTTATACTGTGAAGTCTCTAGTTTATTTTATAATAAATSRAACTATTTATTGYATTTACAGAGAGCCTGGTGAATGAACTATGAACTGCCCATATATGTCAACTGTGGCTGATACTATTTCAAAATGTGTAATACTATGATACTATTTGAAGTGTATACTACTATGATAATATTTATATAAAATATTTATTTAAAATTTGTATTATTTCATATTTAACCAAGAATTAAGAAGAAATTGTAAACTTCTACATTTTACGGGTTTAGAGCATAAATAATATGTCCATTAAAATTTGGTGTTTAAATCGACAAGTTGTTGGTGAGTGAAATGCCCATTTGCTCCATTTTCACAGGYAGGGGATTTACTGAGATTCTAAGCCAGAGTATCATGAAAGCATAAGGCCACATCACCCCAGTGTGCTCTTTCAGACAACAGAACTGCTCCTAGAAGCCACTGACAAAGCAAATCCTTGCAATATAACTCATCTTAGTCATCCACCTTCCAGAAATATATTTATTGCATGGAACTGGGATTTTGATAGCAACTGCAGACAGCTTCTTATTGACCTAATGACCGTGCATTGTTACYCACTATATTGGCACATGTATCCTATCTTATTTTGTACCATCTCGTCGTCTTTGCATTTTGTGTGTTATACTCACCCAGGATGCACTAGTAAACACACATTTTCTCCTCTGGAAAAATAAATTATTTTTTTAGGCAATAGATGAAAAATGAAGAAAACATTTTCTGAGTGAACTGGAAAATAGTAATGAATCAAATAAGGTCATGCATCTACACAGTTTAGAAAAATTACTACCAGAGCTTTTTTTTTAATTTAGGTTTGATTTTTCTGCTTACCTGTATTTTTGTTCTTCACTTGCTAGAGAGAAGTGGTCATACAATGAATAGGCCTCATTTCCTTCCCAGTCTTTCAGGTGTATTTTAAGAACATAACGCTTCTGATTAGTCAGTTGAGAAACAAACTCATTTCCCAGCCAGTACTCCCCAGCAGGATCACCAAATCCCTGTAATTCAAGTTGTATATTTAAATAGCTTTGTTTGGGTGTTGTTTTTTTTTTTTTCCTTTGGGTTTGAAATAATCACTTTATCAGTTTCTAAGTCTAATAGTTTTCTGCCTGTCAACTAAGGATTTTACTGTGTCCATGAGGATTATTGATCTGTAATATTTCAAAAAGTTGATTTCAGCAAGGACAAGCTCAGGAATCTGAAACAGTGAATCARTATTATTTAGATTTGGAGCAGTTTATACTGTTGCCACTAGAAACACAAATATAATCAACTCAAAAAAATGTAAACGTGATGGAACAGTTGATTAAAGAAAAGTAAGGTTTCTCTTTAAAAACAAACATCACACTTGCAAGTCTGCTTAGGCAAACAATGTACACTACTCTGACATTTTCTAAATGTGCATCTGAGGACAAAGACAACTTTTTTAAGTTGTTTACATTCTAAGGATGCTATTAACATAACTTTAGCATATTAGGTTTCCAATAATAATAATAATAACTAATATTAAGACTTCAGGGAACATTGTTTACCATTTTGTACTCTTTCCATGTCCGGTGAAAGTCCACACTGCCATCTTCTCGTTTCTGAATGACTGTCCAACCTCCTCCACCAGTTTCCATGTCACAGTACGCCTACCAGAGTAAGCATGTAACAGCTTAAGTGCATGTAGTCACAGCAAAACAAAATCAGAAATCATGTACTTTGCATAATTTTATATAGTGGCAAATTGTGTGCAAAATACATGTTAACCTAAAAATGAAGGTTTTCATAGCTTTCATACAAATCAATTGTGTTTGTCCAAATAAATATGATTCCTCAGTGTATATTATCACAAGAAAACCTTAACAAATGACACCTTTCACTTCATATTTTTTGTGAATGGCTAATTCAAATTTCCCATGGCTTGTCAGAGTATAGATACTGTTAAATTAAGGCAGTGAGCAAATAAATATATTTTTATTATCACAATCATTGTTCAGTGCCTTTGCAAATGGTCTCATCCCAAAGTTAAATCTAAGTGTAGAACAATTATGATCTGAAAGTTGAACCTTAAAGCCATGTTATTATACAGACTGCTGTGAACATCTTATATTCTTGAACAAAAAAAGTAATAACTATAAAATGCATCCATATATTCAAAAATCACCTTTGAATTTACCAAGTTATTGCTAAAATTTTGAAATGGCTGATATGTAACAAGCAGTTCACTGAACTCATTTTTAGAATACCGAATGAAAGCATCCCTGGCACAGTAAAATTCAGGTTTATAGGTGACTTTTGTTCAGTCAGTCTCCTATATTATATTGCTTAAGTGTCAGACATGAAAGGTATTAATGAAAGTGCCAATACACTGGGGAGATGGTAATAGAAAAAAGTCTTTTGAACATTAGTGGAAATTTTGGAGTGATGTTTGGGAGAAGAAGGGGATAAATTAGCAAGAATTTTTTCTTGATGAAAAAGCTCTGAATCTGTGAAAGCTATGAATATGTGAATATCTAGTACAATTTTTCCTGAGCAAGGCATTCAAAATGTTGCATCTAATTCTGCTTTTCTGAAACAAATAGAACTTATAACTGTGTGTGAAGTCAGTGAAGTTAAGCTGCTGTAAGACAGTACAATGAAAGTCATACTGAAGTAATCTATTTAAATTTCACATTAGTACCGATACTATTTTTAAGAAAGATAATACATTTCTTGTACAAGTATTCCTGTTTGGAGAGTTTACAGTTATTGTTTTCTTATTTGGAAGTTTAATTTTTTTGACCACTTTCTGCCAAGATAGTGAAATTCAGAGCTTTCTGCAGAATCACCTCACATCTTTGAAAACTTTTGAATTCTAGTCTGAGTATTGAACTACATTAACTTCTAATCTGATTCTAGATCTTGTATTAGTATAGTCAAGATCTGACTTCTTACACTTCGATAGGATATTTCATCTGTACAGTAATTAAAYAGATAATTGTAAAAGAAACTAGGCAAGTATTTCATTTGAATTTGTATGTTTCCYTCTTTGTTCAACAGTTCTCTCAGTGGTCTTAGCTCTTATCTGAGTGCTGCTTGTCACAATATGCCTATAAATGCCCCAAATCATGACTGGATGACACTGAAGCTGTATGTCTTTTTCATTCTCTTCTAGAGGAGACTGTCTTATCAGTGTTAGCAGTTAGCAGATTTGAGCTCTTTGAACTGTTAGACACCCTGGAAATTCATTGAAAAAGTATGACTTCAGAAGCCAGTTTCCTTCTGTCTTGTGGTAGTGTTCTGTGTGTCATTTTGGGAAGTAAAGTGTGTTCCTTACTAACTTTTCCATACAGTTGGCTTTTAGGGTATGTGTATTATACATATGTTTACACACACAAATATACACTTATATAAATCAGAGTATTTACAGTTCAAGGAGTGTCATATGCCCTGTTCAAAGGCATCAGACTTTTGACAGGCAAGTCCTTACAGCTGCAAATATCAAATATATTAGTGTTTCAATACGCTGCAGCACACTGGAAATCCAAAGCAGATACTGTACTTTAAAATTGCACTAGACTCCTTTCAACATCAGAGAATYATGAGACATTCAGTTGAGATTTTTAGGGAAGATAGAATAAATAAAGAATTGGATAAGGGATTACTTTTTCATGTCTTGTGAACGGAATTTAATTGAAAGCAGCAACTTTAATTCATACTGCTGTGTRCAATTCCTTACACCTCAAAGGTTTTTGTTTGATTTTACTAACATCTGTATTTAATGACTGTTAAAAATTTGATAATAGTATATACAGAAATTTAGTTAAAATAAAAATTCCCTTCAAAGGAAAGGCTGAAGATAAGCTATTGTAAGAGAAGATCAATCTGTTTTAGAAGGCTAATTCATGATGTGTAATGTATATGTGAAAACTGATTTCCGCAGAGAGCCATGAAGAGCAATACCAGAAATCAGATGCAGATACTTTTATTAAGCAACAATACAAGTTAAAAAGCTGAGTTAACAATGATCAGATATCACTGGTAGTAAATAAAGTTGTCGACTCCAAAGCTTCATCCCACTTAAAAGAACAGTATAAGCAACCAGATGGAGAACAGAACTGTTTCACCCTTCTCTAAATTATGTAGTTTTAAACTATATACAGTGGAGGCTATATATTAATTTATTTGAGCCATGGGTTCAGTCTGATATTGCTATTGTAGATGTTAATTGATGCTTTTTGAAAGTTACATGCAATTTCCTTTATGCCTATTRCTTAAATTTCAATTTTGCTGAAACAAATACTTTCAAGAAATCAATGCCTTTAAATAGCACTTTATTTTGTTCTAATGAGATTAAAAAAGAAATAGTGAATTACTGCRAATGTCTTCCATAAAATATTCCTTTTACAGGCAGTATTCACTTTTTAAGTGAATGGTAAGACAACTAGCTTTAATAGACACTATAGATTCTTTGAGATAAATGCTGGGGTACTGCAAATTTGTTCCCAAAGGAAATAACAGCTCACTASGAAGTGAAAAACATAATGAGAAATTGAAGAAGAGATGACTATAAAAATCTCATGTAGATTTTTCTTTCCAGTAACAATTTTTAGAAGTTTATGTAAATTTGGGAGTATAATTTTTCCACACTAAAAAAATTTCATGTCAGTCAACTCTCAGTCTTTCTCTTAATACTCATTACTAGAACAGAACTTTTCTGACCTTTCAACTATTCTAGGTTTTCTATTCAAAAGAAAGATATGTAACATTTCATAACACTAGTAAAAATAGATACSAAGATTAGGCAGGCAGCAGGAGTCTTCAAACAGATGCCAAAAAGAATAAAGAGATTACCCTCTCAAGTTACAGCAAATTGGAACAGGGAGTATTTGATGTATTTTGTAAACTGCTTCAGTACTTACAGTTCTAGCAGCTGTAGCTCTGTAAGAGGGTATTTGGGGTGTAAGTGCTTTTAGACTTTGTGAATGGTAGGGCTCAGGTTGAGCTCAGGATGAACTTCATCAGGATGAAGAGCCACTGCAGTTTTTATACCAAAGCAAGTGCAGTGACCACATTTTTGCAGTGACACTTTGCATCACTTTTGGCTGCGGTATGAACACGTTTGAGTCAAARCATTTAATGATTTTGTATTCTGCTATCTCTATCAATTGGAGATGTGACTAGATAAGAACTGCAGTCTAATTGGTTCATGAGGTTGCTATAAACATAAAAYTATTGACTTTTAATAGTTTTGCCTCTGCCATTTTTCCTTGTGTCAGCAGTCTTTTGCTGTTTTTTTTCAGTGTTTTTAAAAGGACTTAAGCTTTTGTCCTGGTGCAGAACAGAAAAGTTTGAAAACATTAATGGAATTAAATAATTGTTTTCCTCTCAGCTGTCATATGCAATTCCTTAGTTTTGGATTATGATGGGAGACAAATTAGTGAAGTGGGATCAGTTACAGATTACACAGAAGTTGTTTATAAGCCTGTTGGGAGGTCAGAAGGTGTTACAAGAGGAAAAGACAAAAACATAAACAGCAGTGCAGCACTTTTGGCAAATAAAAAAGGTCACTCTGTTTCCTGGTCTGAGTAGCCATCCACATCATAAACAGTTGAAAATGGTGTAACATGTTGATTATCCCTAAACCTTCACTTCCCTTGACAACTACAATGCATTCATATTTGTATAAAAAATCAGTATCAGGTTAAAGCTTTTTAGTCTCTTATTTTCAATGTCATACGGTAAGTAAAACTTCCTTCTCTTTTCCTATCTGAAGTGGACAGAACAAGATTTCAAATTTTTTATGTTATTAAATGACTGATTTAATACTAAGTAAAATTATTACATTTTAACTCTTTTTTAACCTCATAAACTACCAAAATGGGTATTTATGTTAAGTATTTTAAGCCTCCATGTTCAAATGTAATGCATTTAGTATGTTATAGTTTAGGATTTGTTTTTTTGTGCTTTTGAAAATGCAGTGTTAAATTTTATGACAAATTTTAATTCTGTAATATGTCATGCACTTGTGTCTGCTTTTAGAAAATATGTATTCTCTCTATACTGTATTTGACAGTAAAATTAAAATCAAAGATAAAAGTTTCAGACAAGTAAGAGATCCAAGGAATGTAAACCTTYCTGAGATGTCTAACAAAGACTGCTGCGTTCTATTACTTTAGAGATGCAGTAGCTTTCATATCCTTTAGCTTTTAAAATTGTGATTCTAGATACCTGTGCTATTTAAAAGCCATTCAGCTGAATGTGTAATAAAACACTTTACTGCATCTTATGTAACTAATTTGCTTGTGAAATAGATTTGTTTAGACTAGATTATTCCAAAGGAAAACCAGCTTCTTTTTTTTYCCCCTAAGAGAAGCAGACTGCAAATAATTTCTCYAGATTATATCTACAAAAAAAATTGCAGGTTTTATCTATTGYATTTTATAGAKCTTACCCAAACAAATTGCTTATTTSCYTCAGGAGAGCTTTGTAAGTGTTAAGATCGCAGTCTGGCTTGAGCTAAATGAAGTTCTGGCACTTCAAAGGCTAGTCACTGGTGAATTTCATTTCTAAAACGTTGATAGGGAAAAAAAATGCTTTCTCTGTCAGAGCTTTACTAATTCCTTTTCCACACTGCAATTCTTTTTCCACTGCATTTTTATATTTTCTGTTAATTCTTCTGATGGAATAAAGTAGAGCCTTAGAAATTCCATAAAACTTTTCCTTTTTTTTTGTAAAGGAAATATCTACATTAGAAATTAGAAAATAAAAATGTGAGAAAATTATTTTGTGTTTTTCTATGAAATATATTAAGCATTTTTTAATATTTATATGTCCCTTAGCCTCCTCAGCTGCTGTGTCTGAAAAGCTTTCAAAAAACAAACTTTCATCAGCTGAGTCCCACTCAGCCAAATGCTCACTCYAGATTTTTGGTTCTTTATCCTCACAATCCACCTGTGACTTTTCTCCCTTTCAGATTCTATTGATGGTTTCAACTGAATTATAATATCTGAAGTTTTATCATTTTATTTACTTCGAAGAGGGAGCATCTTTATCAGGCATCCAGTGGGTCATCCACCGAGTGCCATTTTTAGCTCAAGGTCTCTTCTGCAGATGTCTGGTGTACTGCTTTAACTTAAATTGACATTGAAGTTCATTTCAGTTGAACACATAGGGGAAAAATAACCATAGAGGAATTTAAACTGAGTTAGTGAAACCACTGCAAACTCACCTTTTATATGAATCAGTAGTAGTATTTTCCAGAGCAGTATTTTCCAGAAAAGTCCTCTTTGTTAGACAGTGTCTAATTGTTAATCTAATTATTATCCAGTTGTCCTTAAAACTATGTTAAAAAGAACTGAAACCCATACATGAGTCCAGTCCTAGTAGATCTGCTTTCATGACTATACATCCATGAGTAATATTCCATGTCCCTGATTTTACCTTTTTTTGCCACCTGAAAGGCCCTGGGCATATGAAGGAACTAAGAAYTTAGAGGAGACAAGAGTCTGCTGATCATGCAGAGCAACTCTGATGGAGTTACAGATTTTACAATGAAATTRCAGTGCCTTATTGATTTAATTACATTAATTAAGTGGAAAAAATAATGGAATTCTGGCATGAACAAGCAAAATGTTATTAATTTCAACTGAGACAGGATTTCACCTGAAGGACTTTTTTCTTCCTGTGAGATATTCARATCTAGGAGTGATGAAATGCTCATTAAAAAAACTGGGTAAGTAATGAAGTTYACTATTAACTAGACTTTAAAATAGCATATTTGCCAAATCAAACAACATTTAACATGCAGTATGCCTTTATAAAGGAAGCTCTTCATAATCATCCTACCTTTTTCTCTTGTGCAGTGTTTGAGACTGTTAAAGTGTAGATTCCACTTGTTGTCAGTCCAGATTTGAAAGCTTCAGCACAATCTTTGAAGCTGATTTGCTCCTCTTTGGCTATGAAGTTGTTTTTAGCTGTTAAAAATACAATAGAAATTGAAGGCATTAAGAGGAGATGAATGAAAGAATCAATTTATGACATAATCAGCTTTAATCAGTTCCAAAAAATATGTCTGGCCCTGAAGGAAAGGACAGATCAAAGTACTTATTAAGYGTGTTGTTACTCTGTATCATTTAGATACATTATTCTGATAGGAGTGTAGTTGTTTGATAGGTTGAAAAGTGCCAACATTTTTTAATATGTTGAAATAAAAGTCAGGGTATTGCATCTCGTTTAGTTGAACAGTTTGTGCTTCTACTCATTGCCCTTGCTGGACTCCCRGCATGCATTACAACCTTATGCATGCATTAACTACCAATGCAGACGAACCTAAGTAGCAAATGATTATGTTAGTAACGACTTTTGGCTGGTACTATRATGTTGTGGAACCCAATGTAAGAGTTATAAAACCTTTTACAATGCAGCAGAGTGGTGGAACTACCCTTACAAAGTTTTAAGCTATTTTTTTGCCCCTGTGCTGAGCAGGAACAACTTCATATGTACCAAGCTGAAGCTTGGTAGCTCAGCCCGACCCACTAAAGGGACATGCCTTCTGGAATTCATTTGTGTAAAAAATACATTTTCATATGTCTAAGCCTTCTTRTTCAACAGAACAATCTAAGATTCATCTTTTTGTTCAGTTCTTTATTAACTATGGAGGTTGGAATTTCCTGGCATTTCGCCTGCTGACTGATATTTCATATTTGACCCTTTTGGGGTTGGTTCTGTGTATTTTCCCTTTTAATTTAATCTAACAATCACAGTCAGTTACTACAAACGTTTAGGTGTTGTATAAATACATGCTTATATTACAGTTGCTTATTATGTTCTTTTTAGCTTGCTTGTTCATTATTTACCTGTTTAAGTGCTTTGCCTTAAATAGAAAAATAACACATTCAGTGTTTTAATTGCTTTTCCACACTCTATTGTTTGCATACTGTCTTAGAAGCTTTCCCTGCTAATTTTGTCTTTTTGGCAAACACTCATTATTTTTTCCACTCTGGGTTTAATGGTGCTGTAGCCAACATGACTTTGACTTGTTTACTTATTTGTGCACTAGCATAGCAGATAACATCAGCAGGAACATGTACAGCCTTGGTATTTAAGGGAATAGCGTCAGTTATTAAGACAAAAAAAAGTTGGAATTTACTTTGTTTAGAAAACCTTTTAATATCATATCATATAGGGCAATACTAAAAGTGAGGACTTCTGAACATCCTTTTCCTTTTCTGTGATCCACCTTACAGTAATGTAGCATAGACCACCTATACTGTCTTTCAAGTTTTAATGAGGGCTTTTAAAAATTTTTCCCAGTATTTAAATCTTTTTTTTTTTTTTAGGGCTTCTGTATGCTTATGTATTTTCAGCCCTGAGAACTTTACAGGCAAGTGTGCCAGGTTCTACAGCCTTTTGGGGAAGCTTCTTAATTTGTCTAAGTTCCCTATCAGACATGAAATTCAAGGCAGGGAATGTTTAAGTCCTGTGTCTCCATAACTCAGTTTATGGTTTGTGTGGGTTTTTATGGAGCATGTGAATCTGCACAAATCTGGAAGCTATGCTTGGTGGCTATGATTTSTTGCAGGGTTTTCAGGAATTTAAGGGTGAGATTATTGCCTATAAAATTTGCTAGGCTGAGGGATTTTTAGGATGAACAAGGAAACCTCTCTCGGTGGAGAACTGTTGGGAGTACCCGCTGCCCTGGCCTACTGCTTTCTACTTTTGGGGGCTAAAAACTATACCCATGCTGATTCCTTTGCCTTTAGTAGCCACTGTAATTTGTCCTTTCTTTGATAAACTCCATATGCATAAAGCAATGAAACCAGGCAGAAACAATCTGTGTGAGTCAGGAAGAAAAGTTGCAGGCCTACAAAATGCAGTCTCACCTAGATATATGGTCAAGAGAGTGTATATTGCCACACATGTGACTGCCATGTGGGATGAATGATACTTGGTATCTCTATATTTTGTTGAAACACTGAAGAACTGGTTCAACAAAATAGAGAAGATAAACAAACCAGAGAGGATAAACAAAATGTTGAAAAGAAMCCACATAAACGTGGTTGTTTCTCCCACCCCCCTAAAATGCAGGTTAATCAACTCAGATACAGAATTTAAGGCAAAAAATGTAGACTTTTTGARAAGCAGAAGTGTGTCAGAACTATGGTAAGACTTTATAGGTACTAATACACACAAATTAGGAAATAGCACTGAAAGGGTATAAGCATGTCCACTTTAACTTACAGTTTGGTGTCGATATCATAGTAAGCAAGCTATGAACYGTCTCCATCAGATCATGTTGCTGTTTTTGCAGAACTGAGTTGTTTACTGTAGCTGTAACTAACTGTTTTTCTAGTTCTTCTATAATAGAATTCTGTCTGGCTACTAGGACTTGAAGCTGATCTTTTTCATCTTTTATTGACTTCAGCTGAAGCATGTGCTTGTCTTCCATCTCAAGAACTCTTTTTTCTAGAAAGCTAAATAAAAGATTACAATTAGACTCTTGAGAAACAATTTTGAGTTGATGTCAGCATGCAGAAGACAACTAAATGAAAGTTTAGTTTGATACATATGCTTTAATTTATTATATAAGTGCACTAATGCACAACATTATCTACTACCGTTTGTATTGCAGGCTTTAGAAGTGTAATAATTGCCTGTTTGATAATTCAGCATGATTAAAGGAAGATAAAGTGACTAAGTTTTCATGGGTTTACCCTGTTAAAAGATTAAAATTATTTAAAGATGGAACTATGACCTTTTCAAATATCCTATAATTATAAAGAATATATACTTAACATAAATATTATGGCATTAAGACAGGGAAATGTGCAAAAAATTACTTGAAGATGTGTTACCCTTCTCCAGTTTTGGAGCTGGTATGATTAGGGGAATGGCTGGAACATTATTTCACTGCTTATTATTCTGATATAAAATTTGAGTGCTAATTATTCTGATATAGACTCTGAGAAAGCTAATGTTAAAAGATGCATAGCCAGAAGAGAAAAGTTCACTTAAAATCCATTGCTCTTATTGAGAAAAAAAATCCTGAATCTTATATAATTATGTTTCAAGCAGATTAGCTTAATTCAGATCGTCTTTTGTTAGGTGAGAAACTATGCTTTTGTGTTTTATGTGGAWGTTACAAGGGTAGTCTAATGTCTGCTGGGTTCAACACCAAAAGATGTGACCTTTTAAAAAATCAGTATTTCCTTTGCTTTCCATTTGATAAGGACGCTTGTTTTTCTTAAGCTGGTAGATTAAACCTTTAGGGAACATATATAAATGTAGCAAAGTAGTGAACAAAAATGTCAAAACATGTCTCCTGGGTTTTTTAAGATAATTCTTTCAAAGAAAAACCACTTTGCACATATGGTTCTCATTGAAAAACATGGCTTTGAAAGGGAAAACTTACTGTTATTGCTGCTTTTAGATTTCTCTGTAAACTATTTATTGCCAAAAGTAGACTAAAACAGTGGTAATAGGGAAATGAAACTAGCTGAAAAAAAGGTATGAGCCTTTGGGCCACAGCTGAGTACAGAAAAGGACAGGAGTAATAGTTGGATAYTGTCTGAATTTCAAAGTATTGATTCTTAAGGAGTATTAAATATGATTAGTGTTTCATTTTTCTCACTACATTAGACAAAAATTGTAGCAATGACCTGATTAGTCATTAGGATAGCTGTGTATTACATGGAAATAAAATTCTGGAGATGTGATTACACTCAATTAGTTTGCATCAGATTACATCAACTTCATCTGGATAAGTCTGAAGAAGAATATAAACTGGGAACAACTGAAGTATTGCTTCAGTTTTAGCCTTGAGTTCCTCCTATAAAGAAGAACTTTAGATAGTGAACAAGAATTTATAAAYATTATACAAGAATAAACCTGCATGAATCTTCTAGGCTTTAAGTAAAATATGACCTCTGTAATGTGGTGGGTAGTGTTTTACAATAGGTTTGGAGAGCTTGGTACAAACCCGTATTTTCCTATTTCAAGTACAATTGGTTCTAAAACTGTTAGAAGGGCACTTCATAGAATAGCATTTTATTGGGCTGACACACAAACTTACCTGTTTTTTTCTTGTAATTTAGTTATCTCATTGGTCTGATCTGAAATCTGTCTTTCTAGTTTGTTTGTTGAAAGAGAGTGTTCCAAAAGCTGAAGTTCGAGTCTGGTTGTCTGGTTTAATACCTAAAAAAAATTTACAAAAAAAMCACTTCTTTTAAAAGATGTTTCTTTTAGCTAAATTTTAATTCTGTTACATTGTGAAATCATGCAAATCTCTATGTACGCCTATGATTAAAAAATATTTGTCAGCACTTAATTTAGGCACAAATATTCATAGAATCAAAATGAAGAAGAATACACAGAGTTGCACTRATTTTGTTATTACACTACCATATATCATTGGAAATATTTCAGTAGTRTGCTACATTTCTGATGAGAGTTACTGTGTACTTTAGCTTTGTTACTATACTTTCCCCTCTGTTATGATAATTCTTATTTCATTACTGGAACTATTATCGTTGTGGCTTAAAGAATGAGTTGAGTTGTTTTCCCCATCTGGCACTGAAAGTAAACCTCTCACTTGCTGAAATCTTGGCCCAGTCCTGAAATCAGTTGGTAGTTCTCTCCTAGCTATTTTCCTTAATCCCAAATATATTTTGAAGTGTTTATCATGTGAACCACACTTTAGTAAATTCATTCTCTGCATTTTAATATTACCTTTCATCAAAGCATTCGCATCTTTAAATGAAGAAACGCAGATTCCAGGAAACRTGGAAGATGCTTTACAGGTTGCATTGGATTGCATTACTTTGGGGCATGTTTTCTAGAAACATATTCTCATTGTTTTACAATAGCTTTTTTTAAATTCAACAGAATTTGGCTTTCCTTGACAGGAAGAATTGATTACTCATGTCCTTCATGTTAAACAGTTATTCAGGACATGATTTCACACTTAAGTGTAATTGAAAACCATTGCCAAAAGTAAGTGTCCTTGAGAGAGCAATTGTTTGGTTAATTTCCGTGTGTTGCTAATTAAGCCCTTAACCCAGTCACCAGTAATTTCAAGCAAAGAAGGAAAGTTACAGTGATGATTTTCTTCCTCTAAGCAGAAAATAATTGAGTAATTTCCATAAAGACATTACTGTGAATGAATAAATACCTTCTCTCAACATGTGCAATCTTAGGCTCCTGAATAATGCAATCAAAAAGTTGAATTCAGTATGCCTGTGAGCTATGAATCATCAGTTTATTAAAGAGTTCACAAAGGCATGTTTTAGGTTAAAAAATGAAATTATTGGATGAATTCTACATATAGTAAAATTTCTGACAAGAATTTTAGGTTTTGCATACTTTTTGTATTATACAAAATACTGCGTGATGCATGATACATCCATTATGTGTTTTGGCAATTATAGATCTGCATCTTCCTATGTCTGCAAAACTACAAATATATACCACTCTACATTGATTGACTTGGCCTTCTTCTAATATCTGCATTATTTTTAACAGAATGTCTTATTGTACTTAATGCTTTTTAGTTAAAACCCATTCCTTTTTGTTTGAAGTAAGTTAATTAACGTACAGTACACAAGTTTATTTCTGTGTTAATATATYTTTCTAGCAGCCTCCTAATTTCTTTTTCTTGATTCATCTCGGATTTGTTTATATATTCCTTTGTTAACCATAGTACAGTGCATTGTGCTGGAAATGAACTGTTATCCCACTTAGAGTATCTGTGAAAACATTAATTAAAAAGACATATTATTCTTGTAAGTTTTAAAAATTAAAAGATGAAAGATTCTGTTTAAAAAAACCAAGCTGTTAAGTGGAACAAAGAAAATTTGAAAAGACTCTTAGCTAAGATCTGGTAATGACAGGATTGTATAAAAGCACATTAGGACCCAACTGATGCTTCGATATAGTATAGTAGTTTTAAATACATTCTCTTTAAAGAACAACCTAACAACTGTCTTTCTAGACTTACTTAAAATATTACTACAATGGAAATCACTCAAGTGACAACACTGGGCTTGAAGTGGAATTACGTATTACCAAATACTAACGTTTCCTTAAGCTGTGTAGAGCTGCTGGTGATAATGATTGACTTCTAATTGTTGAACTAAAGGCATGTAACACTAAACAGTGTTAAATGTATAGTTGTATAGTATTTGGGCAGTAGAAGCATTTTTAGGTTGAAATTCATTACTTACTTGWGCTTCAACATCTGTTAATTTGCGGGTCTGTTCAGCTGTTTGATTTAGCAAGTTTGTGCCTATTTCAATCATTACTGCAGTCTGGTTCTGCACTGCAGTTTGCTGGATCTCTACCATTTCTTTCTTCATACTGTCTTGGATGTAATTCTCAAGCTACATGGGAAAGGAAAGAGAGAAGATGTTGGAAAGGGGGGTAGTACAGCCTGCTGGCAGGCTTGCTAAACAAATTTGCTGCTTGTCCTTGCCTGTTATGTACTTGTGTTAAGTTTCCCAATGTTAAGCTCTGTGAGAGGAAGAACAAATGTGACAWGGAATGGGTGGCCACTCATTGTCTAAAGGCAGGAACAGAGATTTGCAGGAGATAGGCAGTAGGAACAGTAGTGAGAGGGCTTGTGGGCACTTGGAAGCTTTTCTGCCCTAATGCTCCCACCATTAAAACCATCAGAGGAGCTTCACCAGCTTTGGCAGCGATGGGAATTTTTTAGAAGATAACAGTTTAGGAGTTTAGTCATCTTCCTGTATTTACACTTAACTATTTTAAAAGCATTTTTCATCACATGACTAGAAGTCAGAGGTCAAATGTCATTTAACACTGTTATGTGTGCATTTTTATCAGAGAGAATTTCAAATAAAGACACAAAACAGTAGAAAAACCTATAAATACTTTAAATGCTTAATATTAAGGAATGCAAAAGTTGTTTAAAATACTTGGCTCTGAAGTAATTTCTATCTAACTAATAAAGCTTTTTTAGTAGCCATTTTATAAGAGTACCCTGTTTTCAAGAAAAGTGAGGAGAAAATAAGTAACAAGGAGAAAATTAAACTAATTTTTTGTGTAAATCTTTTTTTCTACCTGCCTGGATTATCAAAAAGCAGTCTGATTTTTCTTCACACTTCTTTAYTTCTCAGTAACTGCAAATAATTAATATTTCTTTGATGTGCCATTGCTTAGGCKTAAATTCATAAAAGTCCAGACCACAAGATTGCAATTTTTTTCCATTGACTAAGTGTATTTCTAGAATCAAACTTCTACTTCACTCCGACACTGTTCCAGCAAGAGAACCATAAAAAATTTTGAGCTTCATGCTGTACCAACAAAGACGACACTAGCTAACAACAAATAGCTAGTGTCACTAAGCACAAATGGCAATGCATCACCAATTCCGACTCTAACTGAAATGGTAAAACAGGTTGATATATTGATTTTTAAAAAATACTATTTTGATATGAATGATGGCTTGTGGTAAGGAGAAACTTTGAACATTATTTTACAGCTACTTTCCCTATTAATGAACAAAAAACATCTAATAATTCAATATTCTAAAAACCACTGTTCAGATATAACCATTCCACTTCCAATCAGCTAAAGATCAATGAACAGATCTATCAGCTTCAAGTGTTTCCCCTTGAAATATCACTTGAGCAAGGACTGGATTAGGTTTTCTTACTTCACAGTTGTTTTTTAAAGGTGGTGAATCAAGAAAACAAGGTATATTAAGAAATTAAAACATACTAGTATATTCTAAAATTGGTAGTATATTCTTAAGTTTGAAGTGGCCATTATTTCGTGATGCCYAGTGTGACCAAAGTGTTAAAGCAGTATTTGTTTTTCGTGCCACTCTCCCCATGCAGCTGGTGAACTGCAATGCACAACTGGGAGATTTCTGACCTGGCGTAAGCTTTGACCCACATCTACTGTTCTGCTCCGTAAGTGTACTTCTTTAGTGTACCACAAAGATTTAAAATCAGCCTTTAGGCAGCCTTTACATTCTCTTTGCATAATGATCTTTTTGAATACTGAAAGTAAGCATAAATTCAACTGGGTTTTGGCATAATAATTTAACATGGGTATCTTCAATTGCCATCATACTATAGTAATTAGAGTTGTTCATTATTCACAGGGTCAATTCTTAAGTGTTACCTTTTGCTCCAGGCTATTTCTCATTTTCAAAAGCTTCCCACCCAGAGACAAATCTAATTTGACCAAACACAYTGGAATTCTTTGAAATCTTTAGTGACATCTTTTAGGTCAGCTTCTTCTTTTATGTTGGACAAAGATCAGTGCCTTTTAACTGAGTCGTAATAGCAAAGCATCTTTGGTTCTTGATCATTAGACTATGAAATGTCAGAGTATAGWGATAATTTAATTTTAAAAGCAATGCAAGTTGGTATTTGGTGCACCGTAGTCCAAGGACATTTGCAAAATTCTGAAGACTTTTATATAGGCAAAAATAAGTAATTTTTCAGTAATGTGAAATAAAGAATGAGAACAACTAATATATGCCCCTCTGAAAATAGTAGGCATCTGGGAATTAAAAGATTTATGAGTCAAATTTAACTTTAGCAACTGAAACTGGAAGACTGGACATTGTTACAGATAAAAACTCTGCTCAAATGCAGCTCTGTTAAAAGAATTTAGAAGGAGATCTCCAGAATGCACTTCCCTCAGTTTCAGTTAAAGTACTGAAATACCTTTATCAAGATCAAGGATATGGCCTTACCCGACAGACTCAATGCACGTCTGCAGTTAGAAAAGCCATTGGAGGGAAAAAATGAAATACAGAGGGGGAAAAAAGGAGTGAGATATCTCAGGTATCAAAGAGCTACCTTATAAGAAAGCACTAAAAATAYTGCATCGACTTTACTTAAGACAAAAAGGCCCAAAAATAAAAAGAAAAACAGCAATAAATATATCAACAGAGAAGGATTGTTCATGAGCTTTGATTCTTCCATGGAACGATTGTTTCTTGGAAAGATATTTAACCTCATTCTTCAAGTCTTGCTCTTTGTTCACCACAGAGAGAGCAGAATGAGAATCTGAGCAAAGTCATCCCTGCATATAGAATTACAGAACTGCATGACTTCTTTGAAATTGTTATCACTGAGTTATTCTAAAACCCACTACTAGAAAATGAGTTAATTCTGGGTTTAAAGGTAAGGTAAACACTTCATGGTACRGTTAGGCAATTGTCCAGTTCAAACACACAGATTAAGGTTGCTCTGAATAGACTAGGCAAAACCCATGATTACGATTTAAGGCGACTGGTGGTTCTGGTTGTCAGATTTTTATACCCCTTGTCACTGTGCTTGCAACCTTGGAAAACAGTTTTGTTTAGACACACAGGTCTGTATTTTCATAATTTATCTTATTTGAATACCTGTAAGTGTRAGCGTATCTCCAAGTATCTGATCTCTTTCAAATAATCTCTCATTTATGTGGGGAATTCCAAACCACTGAAGTGTTCTCTTGGCTCCAGTTTTAAGTTTGTCTTCACATCAGTTTTTCAACTTGAAAATATTAAATATGTAATTTAGGGAATATACTATCTGTGCTTACTTGAAAGCATGAAATATGARCACCAAAAGGGATTTATACTGAGATCTAAAGCCAGTTGCATTAACTGACTCATTCAGCAACATGAAGCATCAAAATTATATTGACCTATTAAGTGGCTTTGGAGTTTCTTRTGGTTTTTTCCCTAAAAATCCTACAAAGCATGATTACATAAATCCCTTCTGTTTTTTCCTTCATATTCACTAATCCTCTCCCATTTTTGTACATTCTCTGCATGTACACATCATAAAATCTCTTTTCCTGACCTGAACCAAGATAYGCTCTGTGATCCTTCTCTGCTTATTTCCCCCCTCTTCATCATACAATGCAAAACTGTACAAAGTAGCGCTTCTTACAACTACAACTTCCTAATTTTTTTGTGCCAGGTGCTTACTTTCATCTTTTTTCAAAGAAAAATAAAATAATGGCTTTCATCCAAAGCTCCCCACCATCTCCCACTGACCTTAGTGACAGCAGAACATGTTCCCACTGCATATCCCTGGAAAGCAAGGCCCGTGGGCTTCCCTGARAGGGCGGTGGAAGAACCTTTTTAACACAGGCTCCAGTTCCCACAGCCATGGCTGAGCTACACTGACAACACTGAGGATTAGAAGCCATTTTGCAAGGCTGCAGTTCTTTGTGGCACACGTCTTTGTAGAGCACTATTCATCAGCTCCTGCCAAGGACCCTCCTTCCTTTGTAAGCAGTAGCACACTCAGAGTTTCTGAAGGGGAAAGAATAGCTTGGGTCTTTTAAAGGAGGGAAGGACACACGAATGAATGCCTCAGTCCCCATCAGTCTGGTGGGAAGCTTGGCAGCTTGGTTTGAGCAGAATGTCTGTCTTCAGTATTTTGCTCAAATTTGGAAGGTGCAACAGGGATTATTGGCTAGATTTCTCCTTTGCCATGTGGCTAGTTATGATTTAATCTCTTTTTAATTCAAATAGTATTTGGCATATAAAAGGTGTGTTAATGTTAACCATGACTACATTATTGTTATTTTGAACAAACTAACTRTTAAAATCTAATAGCTGACTATTAGTTATGCATCTTCTTTCAGAAATTTTGCTTTTGAGGGAGTAAGTCAATATTATGTTAAAGATAATACAAAGGAGAGGGAATATTTGAAAGAAGAAATACTTAGTTGATAGCATTTCAGTGATTCTTGGGATTTTCCATTAAACATTCTATCTTTTGTGTAAGAATTTGACCTGGCCTGTATTCTTGAACAAAGTAAATATAAAAATGAAAGCACAAATGGTAAAAAAACGTATCTCAAAGAATGCTTAAATTGCAAAAACAGCTGGGAAAATTGAAATACTTTCACAGTTAAGATTTGTTACAGTGTTATAGTGATGCATTTTTAGAGAGAAAAAATTCTCTAAGGTCATCACTTTGGGGCTGTGTCATGCTTTATTACTTCAAATCATATAAAATCATAAAATTTGATGAAAATACTTCAGCTAAGTTGCCAGAAAAACAAGGACAGGTCAATAATATTGAAGCACATTCCATCATATTGCTTTTATAGCCAAGACCTTTTTTAAACAAGCTTTAAACTGGCAAGAAAGAAAAGACAACATGTAGAGTATGCACTAAAAGAAGTATGTTTTCTAACCATTGACAGTATTAATCCATTATGAAGGGTTATCAATACTAAGTCAAATGAAAAGCCTTCCTGATTGTATAGTTTGTGTCCATATTACAGATTTTTTCAAAGAATCAGCATTATCTGTGCACTTTATAGACACTTTGACTTACCATTTTTTACATTTTGAGTTATGAATGATGTCTTGCATTTGTTCTTTGCTGCCAAATGT